GAAACCAACTTTGGAGTTGTCTGATTTGGAGAGTCATCATTCTTGGTCTTCCTTTCTTAAAGGAATAGTTCACACAAAAAAATCAGTTACTTGCCCTCATGTCATTCCAAACCAGTAAGACTATTGTCTATCTTTTGAACACAAATGAAGATATTTTTAATTTTCTCTCATCATTTTTTGTTAATGTTCAGAAGAAAATACTGGTCCCCCAGACTTGCAATGGAGGACAAAAATTAAGAGAATATTAAATATATTTATTTGTGTTCCAAAAATTTGCAGAGTTTGTATGGGTTTGGAACAACACATTTTCATTTTTTGGTGAACTAACCCTTTAAAGAGCAGCCTTCCACGTACATGAACATTTGTGAGGTATGTGAATGTCATGTCTGTTTTAATGTTTCAGTAAAGAAGTAGCTTTCTGAAAGCAATATATTTATTTAAACAATATTACATGCCCTCACAGGATGAATGCTGGTCAAAGAGGAGCATGTCCTTTCCCCTAAACTGATGCAACAGTGGTTTTAAAGGAGGAGGCTGGATAATCTAAAAGATGTCACATGCCTTTGCTGTGCTGATGGGGCTTCTTCATGACTACATCAATTATCCTAAAGAGATCATGAAAGACATCTTTAATCTCTAATAACTCCATTCTGCTGTCTGTTGTCGGTGTTTCTTTGTCTGAATATGGCGCTTATCACATGCTGTGTGGTATCGGCGTTTGGTATCGGGGCATTTTAACGAGTACGAGTACGAGTACAGGAGCTCAGTATCGGGCCCGATACCGATGCCAGTATCGGTGCACCCCTAATTATAACGCAACGTGTTGGGTTAAAACAACCCAGCGCTGGGTTGCTAAAATAACCCAAATTGGGTTGTTTTTAACCCAGCAGTTTTTAGAGTGCATGTAAACTGTGTGTTTAAACAGCTTTTTAATACGGTATGCATTCGGCCAATCAACATACACTTACGTCACTGGTAGTTCCTATTGTCCTGGTTTAGATCCTACTGTGAAGTAGGAGCCAATGTATTCCCCCCAAAAAGCATTCCTATAACTAAAATCAGTCCCAGTTCCTGCAGTGTGAACACGCCAAAGAGCAGGTACTTCTGCCAGTAGTTATAGGAACTATGAAATCGTTCCTTTGGTGTGAAAGCCCCTTACTTGTTTTATTTCACATTCAAAGCATACCAAAATGTGACATATTCATATATGCCTTCACGAACTGAACAAAGGGAGAAAATGCTCCAGGTCCCGAAACAAATACTTCAAACAAGCCAGGTATGAAAATGCCCCAAGAGTGTGGGAGCAGGACTTAATCACCAAAACTGATTGGTTAAACTGGATGAACGGGTTACAGAGATACTTCATTTTTCAATATGATCACTCCTGGCTTCTCCAGTTCACTGAAAACATCTTTTTCAGATGCATTAAAAAGGTCTGCACAGCTTTCTGTTTCTGTTTGATGGACTTGCTCAGTGTTTAGGTGAGATTAGAGCCTGGTTGGCAGGCAGTTTTCTTCATCTTAATACTAATAAGATTTGAGTGTGTTGTCTTTGGACCCTCTTCTGCTTCCAAGGAAACTGTAAGTAGGTTGGCCTCTATAAGAGTTTCAGATCATGTCAAGAATTTGGGTGTTATAATGGATTCAGCTTTAGTTTTATATAAACAGGTTCCTAGTGTTGTAAAGGCTGCGTTTTATCAACTCAGAATTATTTCTAAACTGAAATCAATTGTCTCTTTTAAAGACCTGGAGACTGTTATTCATGCTTTTGTATCATCGTGCATTGATTACTGTAATTCTGTATATATAGGTATTTCACAGGGTCAATTATCTCGTCTTCAATTAGTACAAAATGCTGCTGCCAGACTTTTGACTCTCACAAAGAAGAGAGAGAATTACCCCAGTCTTGGTTTATTTACACTGGTTGCCTGTTAAATTTAGAATTGAATTTAAGGTTTTGTTGATGGTTTTTAAAGCGTTGCATGGCATTGCCCCAAAATATATTGTTGACCTTTTGATTCCTTATCAAATACTATTTTGTGTTGTATTGTATTGTATAAACTCTCTGGGCTGGACTAGTGAGTTTCTTCTGAGGAACTTCTGAGGAAGAGCTCATCATCTCACGATTGCTCGTGAGTTACAACTCTTAAAGTCAACATGAAATCAAATACTTCTTAATGCACATGCCTGATCACATTGTGCATGTTTCATGTTTAAAAAAAGTGTTTGTATTGATATTCTGGAATCCACCTACTCTGAAGTGACTTGGCTCCCTATTGACTTATGACCAGAAAATGTGTAATTTCTCAAACCGTCCCCTCCATCCACCTATTTTTCACCCTCCTTGATCATAAGATCAAGTTATTCTGTAAATCAAAATGCATGAGTAAGCTAAAATGGTGTGTGAACACAGTTCATTTTGACTGATCTTGCGTCAGTGTCCTCATTAGCTGTTCAAGGCTATAAGCAGTCCAATGAGTTGCAACAGCATGGACTCTCAACCCCCCTTTATTTCATTAGGCAGTTCACCAAAGTTCACAATACCTTCCTGTCAAGCACTGAACTAGTGAAAGAAAGAGAATAATTTACTCATCTCAGCAATCAGAGAGATGGCCTGATGGTTCTTTTAAGCAGCTCTGTAGCTTTTAACCAAAAATTTTATTTCTTATCAGGGGTGCATTTCCTGTACAGTGACATAACTCGCAGATAACTACCATAATACAGTGCACTGGAGAAATTAATTAACTAGTCATATCTGTTTGTGTAGTAACTTCTATTATTCCATTAATGAGGCCAAATTAATGTCATATACCTGTAATAAAAACATGATTTTGGAGGACTAATTTGCTATTTTGTTCTATGTGGTTTTGATTTATTTAGACACGTTTCAATCGTGGTTTCCCTCACACTCTTCAAAAACTGTGTTTACATTCTCATGATAAACTAAAAGGTGAAGAATTAAATTTGTACATATTTGGATAGACAGATACAGATTGTACTGGATGTTAGTTTGCTTATTTTGCTCAAGAGAATGATCTATCGAAGTCAATGCCATTCTAACTAATCGCAGGTTGAGTAGTATCAACTATAATACACTGCAAAGCTGTTTGCAAATGTTCATTGAAACTATGCTTTTGGGAAACACAAAATCATGGAACTATGATGCTTTTAGAAAAAAAACGCACCACTGATTGTTAAAAACCAGAGCGCTCCACACTAGGAAGTAACATAGCAGCAGCTAGTCAATGGTGGATGCACTAGCTTCAGCCATCTTAGTGTATAGCATGCATTAGATGAGCAGGGATCGGTCATTTGAGGCTGAGGCTATGACACATCAAACTATTATCAAAGAACAGGGGTCATGTAAGTAACTAAACAACATTCAGTGTGGTCTACTGTGACCTGAAAGAGCGAGCTGTCATCAACACCAACAGCGCTGGCAAAGGTCACAGACGTACAAACACATCATATTCACACTCACCACTTTGGGTTTGAAAGGAGGCTGGATCTCTCTGTTGGCCAACCGTTCCCAGTCGATTCTGCGGAAGAAAGCTTGCTCCTTTATATCTCGCTCAGCCTCTGGACCGCAACCTAGACGCTTGGATGGATGCTTCGTCATCAGCTGTGCGTGTGGAGGAGAAGAGAGAGATTATTAAACCACAGCCCATCTACCTCAGATTTAATCATGAAGGAGCATCTGGCTAGGTAGGCTAAATCTGAAGCATAAAATATGTATATAAATAATTTATTTTTAATTTTATAGAAACCACTAAAATACTGTAGCCCCTCACTGCAGAACACAAGATTCAGGGGGCGTGGTTGGATCCACATCTAGGGGGTGGAGATGGATAGGTTTAGGGGTGGAGCTCTGGGAGATGGATAGGTTTAGGGGTGGAGCTCTGGGAGATGGGTAGGTTTAGGGTGGAGCTCTGGGAGATGGGTAGGTTTAGGGGTGGAGCTCTGGTAGATGGGTAGGTTTAGGGGTGGAGATGGGTAGGTTTAGGGTGGAGCTCTGGGAGATGGGTAGGTTTAGGGGTGGAGCTCTGGGAGATGGTTAGGTTTAGGGGTGGAGATGGGTGGGTTTAGGGGTGGAGCTCTGGGAGATGGGTAGGTTTAGGGGTGGAGCTCTGGGAGTTGGGTAGGTTTAGGGGTTGAAACGGGTAGGTTTAGGTATATGTAAGGTGGGAGGAGTTGGATCTGGATCTTGTGTTCTGCAGTGAGGACCATCTCCTAAAATACACTAGTGCAAATTTTTTTCCTATTTGGCTGTGCTAAATTTGAACTGAAATCACTTAAGTGAAACAAAACATTTTCCATTAACTAACATTATTAACACTCATTTACATTCATTTATAATCATTAAGACAAATTAGATGGTGCCCAAATCATCTAATATACATTCATATTATTTAAAGTTCAATGCCATTTAAAACTATTCTAAATTATTAGTAATCACGGAGGGCCGTTATTATAAAGTGTCATCACTGCCTTTACTGACATTTATATCACCACCATGAATCATATGAATCTTTTTCTGTTTCGCCGAGGAACATAATCAAATAGAATGGTGGAAAGACAAATGAAATTGTATTATCTTCCACTCAGCTATTATAGCGGGTAATATTTCCATGACTTGAGCTGACAGCAATATTAAAGTACGCCCGTTATTAATCCAAGCTGAAAAATTAATTCCAATACAGCCTCTGCATTATTCGTTTCTCATTCAGCGAGCGACGGCATACAGACATTTAGAGGAATAAAGGAGCTCCTGCTGATGTCTCGGGACTCACCCCTTTACAGATGGACACTGCCTCTTTAGACAGGGATTTGGGGTAAGACACATTGTGCTCCATTATGGACTGAAAGAGCTCATCCTCATCCTCGCCATCAAATGGAGGCTGTTAGAAACAGAGCAGATGCTGGTTTATATTAAACATACATAGAATATAATTATGTACAATGCCGTTCAAAAGTGTGTGATCAGTACGTTTGATCATAAGTCTCTTCTGCTCATCAAGGTTGAATTTATTTGACCAAAAATACAGAATAAAACAGTAATATTGTGAAATATTATTAGAATTTAACATAATGGTTTTCTATTTTAATATACTAAAAATATAATTTATTCCTATGATCAAAGCTGAATTTTCACCATGATTACTCCAGTCTTCAGTGTCAAGTGATCCATTAGCAACCATTCTAATATGCAGATTTATTATCAATGCTGAAAGCAGTTTTGCTGCTTAATATATTTGTTTTTTCTCGGACCTGTGATACTTTCTTTAGGTTTCTTTGAGGAATAAAAACTAAAAAAAAAAACAAAACAAAAAAACAGCATTTATTTAAAATAGTAAAGACTTTGTTAAAAAAATATTTCTATATTACTTTTCATCAATTTAACACATCCTTGCTAAATAAAGGTATTAATTTCTTTAAAAAAGAGAGAATGAAAAAAATTACTAGCAGACAGTTATTAGCAGCCACCCACTGTATACTCAATACTTCAGAGTTTCTAAAAAGGAGCTATACACATTTCTGTCATGATTCCTGAGTCATTTTACACTTTTCACTTTTTTTTTTAAACACTGTATCCTCAGAGCAGTGGGATGATATATTACATACGCAGGAATCATTCCAGGATGGAGGTGTCCAAGACAAAATCATCCAAAGGGAAACACATGAAGTGTATAACAAGATTCTTCTGTTGGGTAATTGGACCCGGGAGTCAGCGGGAGAAAGCCGAGATGTAAATGACGTAACCTTGGTAACCGTTCTGGCGGAAAGTATTGACGACACAGGAAGTGTGTTTCACACTGAGGCCTGGGCTGCACTCTGTATAAATGAACCTCACTGAACTCAACAGAGAATATTCCGAAATGCACAAATAACGCAGTTTATTACGTCAACGCATGTGAATTAAATGTCTGTGAGTATTTGTGTATAAAACCAGTGCTGCAAGTACAAACATTTTTTGGTGTTTTTGCAGAGTACCACTGCTACATTATAAAAGTGAAATAAGATAATAAAATATAAGATATTATACAAAATATATTGATCACACTTTAGTTTGAGGACCAATTCTCATTATTGACTAACTACTAACTATGACTTTTGCCTCAGTAAATGCCTACTTTGATTAATAATTTTATTTAAAAGTGCTGTCAATCGATTAATCGCGATTAATCGCATCCAAAATAAAAGTTTTTGTTTACATAATATATGTGTGTGTACTGTGTATATGTATTATGTATATATAAATACACACACACATTACCGCGGGAAGTAGGGGTGCTGGGGGTGCTGCAGCACCCCCTGGAGTGTAGCCCACGAAAAAATGGGGGTGCTGGGGGTGCGGTGTTAAAAATAAATGAATGAACAATATGTAATACAAAATAAATAATATTAATTTTATTAATTAGTATATTCATTAAAATTCATTGAAAAAAGTAGCCTAAGCCTACAATGACAAGAAGCAACGGTTAAATATGAGTTAAGTTGATTCAAATTGACTGTGAAAGTCGTTTCAACTGATTAAACGTATTAAACTGACTTAAAAAATCATTTGTTGCCATGATTTTTGGATTATATTATAACCTGTAACATGTCTCTGCCGTATCCAAATTAAGAATTAACAACAATTTCTACAGACTGCAGAGAAAGAGCGAGAGCGTCTACCTCAGCAGCAACTAATCTCGCATTCTCACATCTGTAGCGCTTATTTTGATCTTTAACGTTAGGTCTTTCCTATTCTTGAAACAAAATTAATTCTTAAGGTTGATTCAATATTACTCTTAATGAAAAACACACACAACATCAACAATGCTACAATGACTAAGTCGCTTAGCCTATATTAAACATAAAACTTTTATGAACAGATAAGAACAAATAAGATCAGTGGCGTAGCGTCTGGGTATGCAGGTGCATATGGGCCCGGGCAGTTTGGGGGCAACGAAGGAACGAATAGAGCCCTGCACGGGCCCGGCCCTTGTCCAACAGCTTTATGAGAATTCTCGGACCGAGTCCGACTGGATCCCGTGTCTTTTCTCGCTCTCTTCCCCATTACACAGCTATTAAAATAGTTCAGTTTTGGTTTTTAATGGCAAAGTGGTCATATTTCTTGTTGTTTCTTTATTAAGTTAATTTAGAAATATGTTTGGAACATTGTAATTACATTAATTAATTAAATGAATGAATAATAATTATATAAATGAAGATGGGATGGGTTTTCTATCAACATCATGCACTGTCAGAAAAAAAAAATGTGCAAAAATTGTACCTTTAGGGGTACAACAGCTTGTCACTGGGGCAGTACCCTCAAAGGGACACCTTCGTACCTTCTTTACCCCTGAAGGGTGCATATTGGCACCTTAGAGTAGTAACATGTGCCATTAAGGTAGTAATATGTACTGGTAGTATTAAGAACCCTTTAGGGGTAAATATGTTACAGACAAGCTGCTGTACCCCTAAAGGTACATTTTTTTTCTGACAGTGTGTCTCAAATACTGCCCACAGAAATCAAATTGTATTGAACCCAGGAGATTAAAAAATACATAAATGCACCATAAAAATGCATACAAATTCTTGTTCCGTCAGAAGCACCTTGTGCAAACCAAAATCTCAATCCTCTCTGTGCACTGTTGCTCGGAGACAGCATGTTTTGCTGCAAGTCATTTGCTGTGGCTTTCGCTGATCACAGCAGGGCTGCAATCACAGTTATTCAAAGCGGCTCTAAAAAGTCCCGGTGTCTGACTCATTTGAGTACTATAGAGAATACTAAATGATTCACAAGAACTTTTTGCGCACGTCCACCTACCTGCCCAGCCAGCATCTCGTAGAGGAGCACACCGTACGCCCACCAGTCCACTGATTTCCCGTACGGCTGATAGGCGATTATCTGGAGGAAGAGGAAATGAACATGTGCATCATTTTCTGTCCAGTCATTCATTCAACTCTCATGAGCTCTTTGGGAAACTCTATTCAATCTCCATTAATTTGTCAAGAGCACAATGCACATTTCATTACTGCTCAAGGGGTTGCTGGCTGGCGCTCTGCTATTTTTAACCATTTGCTGTAATAATTGCTTTTTTCCCCTCGCTAGTCCATTTACACCCACATATTCAGCACACACACACCAATGAGTGTGTATAATCACAGGGGTAGTTAATAAGAGCTTTGTTAAGCATAGAGAGTGCATGTTTCATGTCACATTTTGAACTTTCTTCCTCTTCATGGACTGCACAGTTGTGCCACTTTCCACAAATAGGGCACAAATTGGTGCCCCGTTTCTTTCTATGAAAGCAATGAAGTCACACATGCCAAATTCTTTCAAGAGAGAGCTATTAGATATGTTACCTATTGTAAAATTAGTATAGCATGAAATGTAGCTTTAAACACACCAAATATCTATACAATTTTGGACTCGATTGACTATATCTAACAACTGAAATCCTAAAACGATGATTTTGACAAAATGAATACATATATACAGTGAGCATTTTTAGTTAATAAGAGCTTTGTTAAGCATAGAGAGTGCATGTTTCATGTCACATTTTGAACTTTCTTCCTCTTCATGGACTGCACAGTTGTGCCACTTTCCACAAATAAGGCACAAATTGGTGCCCCGTTTCTTTCTATGAAAGCAATGAAGTCACACATGCCAAATTCTTTCAAGAGAGAGCTATTAGATATGTTACCTACTGTAAAATTAGTATAGCATGAAATTTAGCTTTAAACACACCAAATATCTATACAATTTTGGACTCGATTGACTATATCTAACAACTGAAATCCTAAAACGATGATTTTGACAAAATGAATACATATATACAGTGAGCATTTTTTAGTCTAATGCTTAACTTATTATAATTACCACAACTTACCAAACATAATATGACTGATATCATATTGTTTGCAAACCTGTTACTGCATGATTTCCCTTGATGATGAAAAAAAAAGAAACATTTTATAAAATAGAGACACATAGGAAGTGAAATCACCTGGATCTTTTCTACAGCATAATAGGAAGACAAGAAAATATTTTTATTATATTATGTAGTACATGTGTCAAGTACATCAGCTCACCAAAAAACATGGTAAGTGAGTCAATATATCACTCCAATTAGAGAAAGTAGTGGATCTCGCTTCATGACTGTGACTACAGTATAAGAGCCTTTTTCCTTTATGTGGGCAGGTATTTTTCTGTTTCGTTTGCTCAGATTTGTGCGCATAAGACCAGGATGTAATCTGTGTTTTATTATCGTTATGCAACACTGCTATGACAAAATGTCACTTGTTCCAACATACTGAGCTGCGATTCTCATGCAAGCAAGTTTAAATCTGTCTCATGTCAATTTCCCCTCTTTTTCACATCATTTTCATGTCATCTCTCGACTTTCCACTGTCAGTAAAATGGCAGAAAGCGTGCAGATGAGCGTAGCTGTTGATTAAGTCTTCTTCCAGTACCTGTTTTCCAGAGCAAATTTAAACTATTGATCTATTCATGGGGTTACAATTGCCTTTAGAACCAGGAAGGTCAATATATCTGATCATGTCTTCATTAGCATTTGTCTAAAGACAGGAGGAACATTAAAGATTGCCTCATTTCCTATGACAGTGTAAATCTGGAAGCCAACACTATGGTTTTTGGACTCCTTGAAGTATCCCATAAACACCACGGTACATTTTTGATATTCATCGACCATATGACATTGTCACTGCGCTATGGTAAGTTTGAAGTGTAAAGAACCAAACATCTGCTGCTCAGATCAGTCATCTAGAGAACTGTATGTGTAAAAATACAAACTTCACTGTGTTTCTAAAAATAACATCCCATCTGCAGTAATATAAAGACGGGGGCTGGTGTGTGATTGGCTGGGGACTGGAGGGTTTGAATAAAGTCAGGACAGATGAAGAGGTGGAAGGGCTGCTTATGGATGAATAAATGATTGTGTCAGGACACGGACGTGCTGGAGTTTCTAATGGAGAAGCTGAGATGATGGAGTCACGCTGACCTTCTTTAGATTCAGAATACACTCAAGGCTCTGAAGACACACTGGTGGGAGGGCAGCATTTTTAGCAGTGTGTGTGTTGTCTGCAACCATTATAATTATTCTACATTTCTATGATTGTATTTAGAGCTTTTCCTTTGTTGTGCGAGTTAAATAAATGCATGTAATTGCTGGTTTTATATAAATCATGGCTGGCACTGAATGTTTTCTAGACTCTTTAAATGATTATATGGGTCACTGATCAGACATGAGGAGATCAATAAGTGAGGAATTAGATGAAGCAGGGAGCTGTCATGACACATGAGCTGAAGACTTCAAAACGACACTTGAAAGGAAGGACTCAAAGAGTCATAAGCAATCTGCAAGCTATGTGCAATATAAAGAGATCAAAGTTTCCTCAAATCCTACACACACACACACACACACACATTCTGTATCAAAGCACCCAATCCTGTCCTGAGAACCAATCCGCCTCGTTCGTTTTAAAAGCTATCTATGAGATATGAGGATCCTGCCAGGAATACATCATGTTTATGTTTGCTTTCTCTCTTCCCACCTACAATATGCTTTTCACACAGTGCATCTCCTTTTGTGTCATAACGCATGACGTTCCTGCAACCCACACTGCTCTGCAGCTTGATCCCCCCTCACACACACACGCTCACACACATGCTCACACACATACACAAGACATCAAGCTGCCACATGCTTCACTGGAAATGTCACAGCGCTAATCTACAGGTCAATATCACTGTGGGCTTTGCAAAGAGAGCAAATTAAAATGTGGCTATTAGCTAAAACTTTTATGCTTAAATACATATGAAAAAAATAAATGAACTCTTTATTCATTATTTATTATAGATTGCAAAGTAATTAGATACTGATTAAAATTAAACATAAATTAAAAGGGTGATTTCAGACTGACTAACATGACAAACTATTCAATTTGACACAACTTATCGGAAAGGCAGTTAGGAAATAGTAAAGAATTCTATAATGAATTAAAGGCAATTAAATAAAAAAAATAACTAGTGAAATTAGTTTTATTAAGTATTTAATTTTTAATAAACAATTCAAATCTACAATATATTCCATGTTTATATAAACGTTTAATTATTTAAAATATTTATTAAACCATATTTATTTTTTAAAAATGGGCAGTTTTTGAATCTGACAAAATGGGCTGGTTTCACATAAGAATTATAAAATTCAAAGGCATGTGTAGAAAAATGGGCTGTATTGTATGTACAATTACAGTGCCACATTATTGTTTAATAAAGACTTACAGTGCCCTCCACTAATATTGGCACCCTTGGTAAATCTGAGCAAATGCAGCTGTGGAAAAAAAATCTGCATTGCTTATCCTTTTGATCTTTCATTCAAAAAAATCAGAAAATTCTAACCTATCATTGAAGTAAAACAATTGGGGAGAAAATCTCATGATGGAATAATTGTTTTTTTTTTTCAATGCATGATGGCCACAATTATTGGCACCCCTAGACATTCTTATGAGTAAAATATCTCTGAAGTATATTCCCATTCATATTTAAATTTTTAGCACACCAGGGTGACTAGAAGAATGAAATTTTCACAAAATAGAAAGTGGTTGTAAGAAAAGAGCTGAAGCATTGAAAATCCCCATTTCCACCATCAGGGCAATAACTAAGATATTCCAATCAACTAGAGATGTTACAGAGGACGTGTGTCTATATCGTCCTAATCCACAGTGAGGAGGAGAGTTTGAGGGGCCAAAGACTCTCCAAGGATCACAGCTGGAGAATTGCAGAGATTAGTTGAGTCTTGGGGAAAGAAAGCCTAAAAAAATATCAAACAGCCACATGTTGTTTGGGATGGGTTTCAAGAAAAATTATCCTCGCTCATCCAAAAACAAACTCCAGCGTATTCAGTTGTCAGGCACGACTGGAACTTCAAAAGGCACTGGCTTCTATGGTCAGATGAAACAAAAAAAAGAGCTTTCTGGCAGCAAACCCACCAGATGGGCTTAGTACAAACAGGGAAAAAAGTACCCCATGCCCATGGTTAAATATACTGCTGTATCTTTAACGTTATTGGCCTGTTTTTCTGGTCCTGGGCATCTTGTTCAGATGCATGGCATCGTGGATTCTATCAAATACCAACAGATAAAAAATCTAAA